AACAATCACCAATCACGTCGCTAGTATACGCATTAACTGACGGCATAACAATCACCTGATTAATTGTTATTTTTTTGGTATTTGCACTTTTCACTTGCAAAACTTGGTCTTTGAACGAGGAAGATGCAAAACTATGTTTTTAAATCTTTTGATTTCAATTATTTACTAAACTACTTAATTTTAAAGGACTTTTTTTTTACTTTTTTGAATAAGAAATTATGCAAAAGCACGTCTATACGATTTTTGTATTTTTTTTCAAATATGACCTTATGAGCGGTTTTTCGTGTTTTTCTTAAAATCACTTATCCTGCAAATACAGAGTTGTGCATCTAATGTACTCATATAATAAAGCTAATTTCAGCCTGTGACTAAAATGCCCAAAAGCCACTACTTATTGCCAACTTCAGCCCGTGACTAAAGTGCTATAAAGTTACAGCTCGTCAATGTAGAAGTAGATAATAGTATATTATGTATCAAGTTTGATAAACGCTATTTTATACACGAATTTAATTTAGGCACGAGCGAGCTTGCGAGCGAGTGCTTAAGTTAATGAGTGTACAGAAAAGTTTATAAACGAGGTGCATACTATACTTTTTCTACGACAAATACTTATTATTATCTTAAAATAATTTAAATCAAAAATTTGTATAGGGCGCCATCTATGAAACAACAGGGGAAACTGTCAAATGTCACATTTTTACATTTTATAAACACAATTATAAAGGTTGTAAATCGAAATGTATCTTGAAAATTTACAGTTTTTCACAGTGAAAGTAAAGAAAATGTTTTATGACGACTTTACAGTAGAGTCCGTGCCCGAATTTAAGTTATAGTTTACTGCCGGCGAAATTAAAAGGTCAGTACAATGTTCATATAAACTTTTCAAATATTGGCGTTGAGAAACTATTTAATATTTTTGTATTTTTGTATTGAGATAATAAAATAATTTTCACATTTAGTATTATTTTACAAGAAAGGCACTTTATTTTAACGATTGTATGACATTTGACAACTGTCAACTAACTTAATACTAACTTCAGCCCGTGACTAAAAACCTGTTGCTAACTTCAGCCCGTGACTAAAGCGCCGTAAAGCCACAACTTGTCAATGTGTATTTAAAAGGTCACTTAGTGTCATGGAAACATGTACGATAAAGGGCGTTTTAATGGTGGGAGTAGAAAATAGTATATTATGTATCAAGTTTTATAAACGCCATTTTAGTAACGAGTTTAATTAAGTACGAGCGAAGCTTGCGAGCGAGTGTTTAATAAAAACGAGTGTCTAGAGAAGTTTATAAACGAGTTGCATACTATACTTTATCTACGACGAACACAAAACAGAATTTAAAGCCAATTTTATTTGTTAAAATTTTGACATCTGTCAACTGTCACCCGAATTTAACCTTACTTTTTCCCAATTTATAATAAAGCTAACTTCAGCCCGTGACGTAAAATGTCGAAAAGCCACTGTTGTTAACTTCAGCCCGTCAATAAAACGCCATAAAGTGACAGCTAGTCAATGTAGGAGTAGATAAATACATTTAACTTATTTGGAAAGGATAATTGGTGTGGCAGAAATGTCTGCATCTCATACTCAAGACAACGTATGCGTAACTACGAATTTTATTTTGTCGTAAAAATAATTGTTAAAAGAATTTCTACTTCATTAGCTGTACTAAAGGGAAACTTTTTATTCTATAATATTTTATAAAATCGTATACAATTTTTTAGAATTTCACATTATGTAAAAAACTAATCATACTAAAATTTAGTCAAACTAGTACCAGATTCGTTTAATGTACCTAATAAAAAAAATTGAATTTATTGAAATCTCTTGTCAATAATTTTTACTTATCTCTTTTCAATAATTTTTGTTTTTAATAATACAATAAAATAAGAAGATATTTTCAAAAATAAACAATTCATGTTCATGAAAATAATTATAATTTTACAGTCAAAGTAAAAAAATCGAAAAAATTACTATAACTTTAACCTTAAATAACTTTAAAATCAGCGAATTTATAAAAAAATCATAAAAAAGCTTTTTTGTACAGCGTTCAATTTCCTATAAAAATATGTGTCTCTTCTTGCGGGAGAAAAAAAATTAAATGTAAAACTTGCCAAAACCCCATGTTATTTAAATGGAAAATGTATCGTCTTTGTGGCACGGTTTAATATGAATATTTTTTTTATAATTTTTTTAATAATTTTGTTTAGGTCATAAACTAAAAATTTAGGGGGCGCTGCGAACAAAACACCCAAGTTGGTAAATAACGGACACCCTACTGTGGATGCTTTTTCGTTCACCACTTAAAAAATATATATAACCAGTTGTAGACTTTCGATCGTCTACATCGTTTGTTCAATCAGCGACCCTACTCATCAAATTAAATACAAGGTCCTTTGATATATTTCATTATTTTTTTACTGTTTACCAATGAGCTGGACTTGGATTCTGCTTGAATCTGCCCACATTACTGCCCGCATAACATATATCGCGTCCTGAAACCTGTGTCGCGAATAACAAACTTTCAACCGCTTCATTCAACCATTCAACAATTGTTATTGGGTTCCTTACATTATGTAAATTTTTCTGATCCAAAAAGTTATGTCATGTCAAAATAATTTTGTCGAAAAAATTTAAGTGCCGCGCAGTGTTTCAATTCTCGAAATTTTCGACAAAATATCAAGGAGTAGTCGGATTCTCCTAAAAATCCGTATATAGAGGTTTTTGGGGTGGCTGATAACGAATCTGGAATCAGAATTCCAAAATTCAAAATGGTAGATCCAAAATGACGGACATATTTGTCAAAGAATTGACGGAATAAATTGAAAATCACCATACAGGGGTTTTGGGGTCGCTGATAACGAATCTGGAATCAGAATTCCAAAATTTAAAATGGTAGATCCAAAATGGCGGACATATTTGTCAAAAAATTGACGGAATAAATTGAAAATCACCATACAGGGGTTTTTGGGGTCGCTGATAACGAATCTGGAATCAGAATTCCAAAATTCAAAATGATGGACATTTGTATCAAAAAATTGTCGAAATTAATTAAAAACCCGTAAGAGGTTCTTTTTAAAATGTAAATAAAACATCTTTTTATAAACAAAACACAAATAACCACAATTCAAATTTGACATTAACACACTACAATGCGCATGCGGAGTTATTTTAACGCCCCTACAAGAGGTGGGTAAAATATGTAAAATCGGTGTTAAATATCTTAGTAGTCACGAACGATTTACGCAAGTGAAAGTCTAGACACCGCTGTTGTAATAAACGTTTTGAGTTAAATCCGAGTGAACCCTATTAAAAATGCCCTATAGAACCCATTTTGATCCAGATAAGGAAACTAATATCGATCTATATGGTTCTATATGTCCTATATGGAACGACCTGGTTTACACTTTGGAATCTATGTATATGGTTTAATATGGAATTTCATTTTAAAATGTACAACTTTTTAATATGGATTTATCTGGTTTCTGTTTTATGTGTTTTTCCATATAGGTTTCCCTATATGGTTGAATATGGGATTCCATTTTAAAATGTATATATATTTACGAAAATTGCATATTAAACCATATAGATTCCCCTATATGGTAATAATTTTTTCACACCCCAACCATATTGGGCCAGATAGAGCAATATGAACCTATATGGCAATCCATATAGAAATCACTTTTCTATAAGGTTTTCCAGGTATGGAATTCTATCTGGTTCAATAGTGCAATGCCTGTTTCAAATTCCTATATTGAAATATTGTGTTTCTATATGGCATTTTTAATAGGGAATCGAGTAAACGTCATGAAAACAACCCAGAAATAAAAAAAAAATCTTATATTTTGTAAAGCAAAACTACAGATACGCGCGCGACATAGGCTTAAAATCGCGAGGTTTTTTACCACAACCGTGCCTGAGCGCCCAAGAACATGTAGTTTTGTAGAGCCGGGGGCGAGTTGGGGCAGATAATTTATTGATGGCTTGATAGACAAAACTCTAATCTATTCAACGGATCTTGAACTGATGCCTTACAATTCATTACAATTTTTGTAGCTCCATTGTTCTAAAAGCTCGATTCAAAGTTTGCGATTTTAACAGACCGATCTTGTCGGTTACAATAACCCGTTGTACAAGCAAAATCTACGAAAAACAAATACATAACTGAATTTTACATACCTTGAAGATCACCCTTCATCAAACCGCATAACAATCGGACACACCAAACACAAGTTATTCACTTTTAAACAATAAACAATTTTCCGCAGCGATCGCGTGTAAAGTACCTTCAACTAAAAGCGTCAAGTTTAAACTGATGTACAAGACAAAATATACGTATTTTATATATTTTTTTTGCCGATATTTTTGAGAATTGAAACACTGTGTGCCGGTTTTTTTGTCGGTGAGTGTAGTACAGTGATCAGAAAAAGTGCTACATTCCACTTGACATTCACCCGTGTATTCAATGTTAGTAAATATCTGATAATTTATAGATCCACCCTTTAGGGGAGATCTAGTTATATTACAAAATTTAGGCAAGAGATTATAAGACTTAAGAAGTGCTTGGGATTCTGTATTTTCTGACTTGGTGAGAGTTTTAAAGTTAAATTCACCACAGCGTATTATTGGTTTATTAACCCTAGGCATTCATTAATTTTATTTATGAATGTTTGAAAGTTAAGTTGAGCAACATTTCATCTGGTAGCACATATATGTGCTACCAGATGAACTATATAGTTCTATGTCGATTTCCTTGCAAAACCTGAATCTATATTTTCATTTATTAATTTATTTAACAAATTTATTTATCATTTAATAAAAATATAAATTGATACATCTTTTTAATGTTTACAAGACAAGCAGGCTAAAGGCAGTTTAAAAACAATTCCCTCGTATCACTTAACTTTCAGTCTGACCACAGTACCAAAGTTATAAGTATTGGTTGTTGACTTTGGTTGTTTATTATTTCTAAGTACCCGTCTTTTTGTTTTCAGTTTACAGCACCTCATTGGGCAGGGTTATACACATTCACTGTATGCTTAAGATCTGATTCATATATTGGATTTGATCAACAAAAAGATATAAAGTTGGATGTAAAGGAAGCCCCAGCTGAAATTACTGAGCATCCTCAATGGGAATTTGAAGATTCAGAGGAAGAAGATAAAAAGGAGGACGATGCCCAGGAATCTGAGTACACTACTGATGAAGATCTACCTGAAGATGAGGACTGAACTGTATTAAATAGGAAATGAGATTTTTCTTTATAATTTTGTGCATTCTCCAAAACAAATACATGTTGTGTGCCAAAAAAAGTCGATATATTTTTTTTCACCCTCAGCCCAAAATATCATAGGATATGCCCAAACAGAAATCCTGTTAGAAGGGGAGCTCGGAATTTTAATTTTAAGAGGTCCTCCATCGAACTTTAATTTTTCCCAGAGAGTGAAAAAAAAATATATAGACTTTTTTTGGCACACCCTAATGTATTTATTAAATAATTTTGTTGTATTTATACCCAGATATTTATATATACATTATAAATTAAACATTAATTAAGACAAAGAGAAGTTCTTCTTAAACTGACAGTATTGTTATATTTTTATATTAATAACTATTTTTGTTTTTGTTAATTTTAAAATTGTTGTTTCCATTTTAGTTAATATAAATCTAAACAAACTGCCAGTTATATTGGTAATACATTATTGGTTTTAAATGTATGTTACTTTCAAAATAATCTTGGTATTGGGATAACTCATAAGTAATTAAATTATATTTGTATTTGAATAAAATTTTTAAAATAAACGGCTTTTATTAATTAAAATCCTACAAAACATTGTTTCAATTGTTGGTTTAATAATTAGTGAATGTCTAGAAAAGTTCATAAACGAATTGCATACTATATAGGACACATATTTAAATCAAATATTTGTATAGAGCACCATCTATTAAACAATAGGGGAATCTGTTACCGTCAAATGTCAAATTGTTATGTTTTATAAAGGTTATAATCTGAAATGTATTCCTTGAAAATCGATTTACAACAGTTTTTCATAGTGAAAGTAAAGGAAATGTTTTATGAGGACTTTACAGTAGAGTCCGTGCCCGAATTCAAGTTATAGTTTACTGCCAGCGAAATTAAAAGGTCAGTACAATGTTCATATAAACTTTTCAAATATTGGCGTTGAGAAACTATTTAATATTTTTGTATTGAGACAATAAAATAATTTTCACATTTAGTATTATTTTACAAGAAAGGCACTTTATTTTAACGATTGTATGACATTTGACAACTGTCAACTAACTTAAAACTAACTTCAGCCCGTGACTAAAAACCTGTTGCTAACTTCAGCCCGTGACTAAAGTGACGTAAAGCCACAACTTGTCAATGTGTATTTAAAAGGTCACTTAGTGTCATGGAAACATGTACGATAAAGGGCGTTTTAAAGGTGGGAGTAGAAAAAATAATATATGTATTGATATACCTATATTGTAATATTATAGTTTAAAACAATTATTAATAATTCACTGATTGGTAGATATATCTATATATATATGTATTATAGGTATTATCTTTGGGTACTTATTATTACTGCATTGCATCTTTTAAAACCAACAATAGTGAAACACCATGATCTTAATTTCAATAATATTTTTAATTTAATGGCATTTTAAAGTCATTGTTTTAAACAATAGAGTAATTGCATCAAAAATGAAAATCCCTAAAAACCTTTTTATTGTAATCTAGAGGTAAAAACACATTGCGAAAATATTTTTTTATATTCCAAAAGTTCAACCCGGGTCCAAAATATCAAATTGAAAAAAAGGTACTTTTCAAACGTTCCGAACTCCCGCCAAATTGCATGACGTCATAAGCTCCAACTGTCAGAAATCAAGATGTCAACAAATAATAAACACCGATAAAGTTTAACATGGAAAACGCGAAACCAAAAATTGGTTGTAAATATTGTTTTGTGCCTTGTATAAATACAACCTGGAAAACTCCTGGGAAAAGGTTTATCACCGTGCCAAAAGGGAAAATAAGGATAAAGTGGATTAAAATAGCTCGGCGCGATATCAAAACATCGTCACCGCAGTCAACATTTTATTGATCATTTTAAGGATCATTTTAATGTAAGTAAAATAAAATGTCGTTTACTAGGTATATGGTTTGAATAGGTATGTTAAATATTAATAAACCCGGCTGAGCCGTAACTACTCTCAGTGTAGGGTCATAAACTTTGCTTTTGATAATTGAAGGGACAACTTTCCCAGGAGTTTTCCAGGTTGTATTTGTACAACAAGGCACAAAACAATATTTACAACCAATTTTTGGTTTCGCCTTTTCCATGTTAAACATAAACTTTATCGGTGTTTATTATTTGTTGACATCTTGATTTCTGACAGTTGGAGCTTATGACGTCATGCAATTTGGCGGGAGTTCGGAACGTTTGAAAAGTACCTTTTTTTTAATTTGATATTTTGGGGCCGGGTTGAACTTTTGGAATATAAAAAAATATTTTTGCAATGTGTTTTTACCTCTAGATTACATTAAAAAGGTTTTTAGGGATTTTCATTTTTGATGCAATTACTCTATTGCTAGGCAAGGCAGTAATTCTAAAATTAGTTTTAATTTCGTAACGCCACTGGCCTTTGCGTGTGCAGCCATCTATTAAAGAATTAATAAAGCTTATGCGCATGCGTGTTTTTCATAATTAAGCAGACTACGAATCACTCCAGTCGTAAACCGAAAATGTCACTTCTCCTATTTCGCATCGCCATATTGGTACGTTAGTACTGTAGAAATTCCTAAAAGATCTGGAAAATAGCGATAAAACGAGTGAGAAAGTAATATTTTTGTGATTCACCAAGTGCAATTTTTACAATAGGCAATACATTTTTGTGCTAGTAACGGGAACAAGTGAATTTGGTTGTTTGTTTTGAACAGTTAACGAACAAAACTAAAAATGGCGTGTGCAACGTTGAAGAGATCGTTAGACTGGGAGCCTGCTCTGGGAGGAAGGCCAGCTAAAAGGCGAAGATGTATTCCTTTTTGCGGAAGTCCTTCGCAAAGAGACAGAGCATCCACCAGCAGCAGCAGCAGCTCTCATAGTCCCATGGGCCCGTCATCCCCTAAGTCAACTTCAGTGTTCCCCGACGTAATTAGCAAAAAACTTACTCCCGGTAAGTATTTTATTGAAATTAGTACATTCTAATGGCACGCAATCAATTAATTTAGTTAATATTTTATTTGTAAAGCCAAATTGTTGACATTTCATAATGTATCAGCTGATTGAAAATAGAAACATGCTTTGTTTTCTAATTTCCTATTTGTATTTTATATTTATAAAAATATAGGCTATCAGCTTAGAATTTTATTGAATATACATTTATATATTGAATATATATTTATAAATATTAATTGATGGTATTTTTAAATTTAAATTGACATGTATTGTCAATATTAAGGACAGGTTATCTCAAAAGTCATGGACAGCAAAAAAGGGGTGAATACTATCCACTAAATAGGGTATGTAATTCCAAGACAAAAAGTTGGTTATTAATTAAATAAAGTAGCCATTTACAGGCATGCTTTATCTAAATTAGGTATATTTAATTTTTTATAACGACCCCTACATTGTCAATGTAAGGGTATAGCTTAGACATTAATATTGTATTTCCAAGCTTCAATGTAGCTTTTTAGAAATCCAATAGCTATAAACATGATTGTAGTATAAATTGACCATAATTTTATTGTTGTCAGTGTTTTGGTTTTAAGGTTAATTTTTCTGACATTCTCTAGTCATTATGCTAAAGTTTGTCTGTGATTGATTACTTTATATAAATAATAACTAATTAAGGGTGAGTCAGTTCAAAAAACGCCAAAGGACTTTTTGTCCTGGAATTTTATCTCCTATCTACCCCTTTACTGCTTTCCATGACTTTTAAGTTACCCTGTATATCGACGCCTTTAACACAGGACCTTGTAGGAGTAGGCTCGGGAGTAGGTAATAGTAAATTTTACAGGGAGGGAAAAAAACACCGACAATCATATTTTTGAGTAGAATAGAACTTTTTTGTATCAATATATTGAGGTATTAACTATTCACTTCAAACAGTATAAAGTTTTATCGACAGATGAAGAATAGAAAATTTTATAGATAGGTATCTGCAAAAAAATAAATTTCTATAAAAATGTCAATAATGACTTGTAAATTACCATGGTTACTACTATAGGTACTGCATTGAAGCTGTCACAATATTATGTTTTTGACTTTTTTGTTATGGGACATCCATCCTGGACAATCAACATTAAAACATAATAGTTATTTATGTCATTAGGTTAAGAAGTAAGGCTTTTTGTTCTAAGCTCAAGGTTTACAATTGAGCGAAGCACAAAAAGGCACTTCTTGGCCGAATGGCATACAACATTTTATCTTTAAAGCACTTTATATAGGTCAATTTAATTCAACATCAAAGCGGCCTAACCTCACTTTTTTAGAATCTCATTTATTTATTAGCTAAAGATTACATTAAATGTACAATAATTAATATTGCTTTTAAAAGCAGTAATACTTTGACAATACCTAGCAACATGATTTAAGTAGAAATGGATTTTTGCTATTACATTAAATTCAATTAATTGTTTAATAAATAGGTAGGTATCTAATTTCAATTTGTTTGGATTTTTATTTAAAAAATAGTTAGTTTGGAATGTTTAAGCTGTGTTTAACATTTAATTTCACTGAAAACTTAAAGCAAATTAAAACTTAAAGATAATTTAAATCGTAGAAAAAGAATCTTGCGTTTTCTTGGTTGCCTAACCTCACTTTTTGTTTTATTATTCATATTTAATTTTACTATAATTTAATGAAAAATATTAAACATTAACAGTAAAACAAACAAATTAGTGCTTATTATAAATAAATTAAACCAGTTTAGTACGTTAATTTCTTAGAAAAGGATTAATTTGTCAAAACAATACCCCTAGCGAGAAAAAATCGAACTAATTACTTGCCTCATAAAATTTTTTATCGACCTAGGCCATAACAAGGTATTTCTTTATCGAATGTTGACAACAATTAAGTTTAAATTATAGACCGCGTGGAGATAAACAATATTATTGTAGTCAAAATTTTTAATTTCTTAAAAGCTTATGTTTTTACAGTACCTAAGCTTATACAATATTTATTGATAATAGAAAATTATGTAGTAGTTAGGCCCTGAACTTCCCATTATTATAATAGTCATCATAGTATTAATTTTTGTATACTTAAATACAGACAAATTAAAGTACCTATGTAATTGTTATTGCAATTATTGTTAAGTTTATAACTGCAACAATTTTAGGGTAATCAAAAATTACCTGTATGCAAGCTGGATGGGTAGATAATACTATTTTTATAAAACAAAACCCCAATGGATTTTAAAAAAGTAGCTCAACTTATATCTGAATGAAGTTACATTTAGTCCAGGGTTGCCAGATGGCGATTTCGAATTTTTCCCAAATCAAATTAATTTAATTTTTCCCCAAAATGACGCTATTTTTTAAACTAGGAAAAACTTTTTTATTATGCATTTTACGGAAAAAAGTCATTTTTCATAAAAAGTCCTGCTTGTTTAAAAAATGAGAGTGCGATTTAAAAAAAAACGATTCATTGTACAGGGTGTCCAGAAATTAATAATATATGAAAATGCTCAGGAGAGAAGTACCTTTATTTATAACTTTACACAAACATTTTATAAGAGAAAGTCGTTGCAAATTTAATTTTAAGTCTAAATATGAAATACAAATTATTTTTTTAATATTTATTTGATATGACCCCCTCTAACTTTAACACATTTTAACTTTTTTATTATGCGTTTTTAGGAAAAAAGTCATTTAAAAAATGAGATTGGGATTAAAAAAAAACCGTTTCATTGTACAGGGTGTCCAGAAATTAAAAAAAAAAGAAAATGCTCAAGAGAGAAGTACCTTTTTTTGACTTTATACAAAAATTTTATAAGAGAAAGTCGTTAATTTAGAATCTAAATAAATGAAAAACACATTTATTTAAAAAAAAATTATTTTGGAATAATTTATCTCGTTTTCCCATCCACCTTTCTCCAAATTGGTTTGTCAACCACTGCCATACTAAATTTAATTTGGCAAATTAGTTGAATGAGCAGGGCATCCATCTTGCTGCCAAAAAATTCTTTGCCGAATTTGTGGTTCCAGGGTGTTTATAAAATTTAAAACATAATTTTGCAAAATTTCCAAATAAACAGAGAAATATGGGCCGATTATTTGATCATAAAAAAACTGCACACCAAACATTGACTTTTTATATCGTTGACTTCCTTTCTCGATTGTATAATTTGGGTTTGCATCTGCCCAGAAACGACTATTTTGAGATTAAACATGCCCGTTGGTACAAAAAGTTGATTCATCCGTAAAAAAATCATTTTGTGAAAATTTCGATCCTCCATGTACTTCTTTCCAATCCATAAGCAAAAGTCCAATCGCTTCGCTTCATCGCCATCTTCCAGTGTATGCGTAAATTTTGGTTTAAACGGATAAATTTTCATCATTATTTTTTTTCTTCTTTTTATACAAAACAGCCGGTTTCGTTAAATTTTTTCACTAATTTTTTTCAGTCTGACGGGATACTGATGTATTTGGATATTTTTGTTGAAAAACGTCGATTGCTCTTAAAACGTAAAAGTTTAAAGATTAAAACCAACAATAATATTTTAAAAGTCAAACCAATTATAGTAAAACAAACAATTTTCATAGAGTGCAAACTAAAATGGGGTAACGGTCAATGAGGAGTGAAGTGTTAAGTGATATGAATGATTTAAGTGCCACCTGTTATTGGACGCTTTTCACTGGACAAACAAAGGAGGTCAAACAAGAGGGGATGTGGCCATCCGCAAAAAAAATGATAAGTAACCTTAAGAATATGCATGACCTAGCACAAAATCTGAAATTAAACACGGCAGATATCTTTAAAACTCTAAGAAAGGCACACTGCGTAGGGCAATAAATCTGTCAACAACAAATGCGTAATGCAAACCCAAACGAGACCGAAAATAAGCACTAGACACACAGAATAAACTAACACATTAATCATTATAACCCTAACATAGTAAAAAAAGCACAATAACCAAACTCTACTGGATTTGTATACATTAGACAACAGAATAATTGCGCTTGTCATTTGTTTAACTAATAAATAAATGCAATACTTAATTTTGAAATTTAAGAAAAAAGACAAAACTCTACCACAAAACGTGCTTGAGACAAAAATTACGGAAACTTGAACGGAAGATCAATACACTACTAACGACAGACTTATCCGACTACCATCACCAACATCCCCGCGACCTGCTAATGGGCAAAACCATTACCAAAAAAGTCGGGAGACCATGCTTCACATTTCATGACACGTTAGCACAAAACATGCACTTCTCACAAATTAACAAGACCAGTTGGGAGCAACTAAGCAACAACAAAAAAACAACTGACACACTTTACCAAGTGCAGGAACTATCTGACCAGGACACGGACAATGACAATAACGAACAAGACGAAGACCTCGACTAGGAAACTACACCCCTGCAGCGAAATAACAACTCCCCGCAAATGTTTGGAGTAATACTAATCGACTGGTCTAGGGGGATTCCGCGTCGTACTTAGTTTTAAGTTGGCGTAATTGTCCCCCAAAAACCAACACCCTCCCGTCCCTCCTCCTCTATACCCTACTGGGCGTATAGCATCGGCTCGGCGAGCCCGAGAATGGCTATTAAAACTATTTGCATGTCGCTCTCGAGCCCCAAATAGGGGACAGTACGGAACGCAATGGACATTCGTACCCAGCAAACACGGGTGAAGCCGTGCAGTTGCTGGGGAAGAACAAAAATCGGCGTAAGTAAACATACTCTTATACTCATACTCCAAGGAAACGAATCTAAACCTCTGAAAACGAGATAAATTATTCAAAAATAATTTTGCCAACGACTTTCTCTTATAAAATTTTTGTATAAAGTAATAAAAAAGGTACTGGAGCATTTTCTTTTTTTTTAATACCCTGTACAATGAAACGGTTTTTTTTAATCGCAATCTCATTTTTTAAAGAAGAAGGACTTTTTTTATAAAGAATGACATTTTTCCTAAAACGCATAAAAAAAAGTTAAAATGTGTTAACGTTGGAGGGGGTTATATCGAATAAATATTAAAAAAAAATTGTATTTCATATTTAGACTTTAAATTAAATTTGCAACGACTTTCTCTTATAAAATGTTTGTATAAAGTTATAAATAAAGGTACTTCTCTCTTGAGCATTTACATATTTTATTAATTTCTGAACACCCTGTACAATAAATCGCACTCTCATTATTTTAAACAAGCAGGACTTTTTATGAAAAATGACTTTTTTCCGTACAACGCATAATAAAAAAGTTTTTCCTATAGGTGTTATTTACAATATATTTTTAAAGCGTTGATTAATATATTTAATTAACGGCAAAATAGATGACGTTAATTTTTTGTAATATCCTGGCAAATCATACTTTTCCGATAAAGTTAAAATATTGTTATTGTTTCACAGAATATGTGGCAGAAAACATTAGAGCCGAGTTAAAAAGAAGACAAAGACGCAAACAGTTGCAATATAGCATGATGGAAAACTCAGATGGTAGCAGCTCAGGTGGCGAAACCGCAGAAACGCCCACAAGATCTGACAGAGCCTTATTTACCTTCAAACAAGTAAGTTTTTCTTTTCCTTTTTTGCGATTGTGTATACGTACAATATTAACATAGCATTTCTTAAGGTTGGTATGATTTGTGACCGTATGCTACGAGAGAGGGAATCGGAAATCAGAGAGGAATATGACAATGTGTTGACAGCCAAGCTTGCTGAACAATATGATGCCTTTGTTAAATTTACCTATGATCAAATCCAGAAAAACTACAGTGCAGCCGCACCAAGCTGTAAGTATAACATCAATAATCGTTACGTAAAATTTGACCCGGGGACAAAATAATCGCAAACCAAAATTAAACTACAAACTAACCCAACACCATATTTTTTTTATTGCAGATTCGAAATAGGTAGATTTTGTCTAAAACATTTTTTCATATTTGTAATTTATTTATTTATTTCGTTTTATTATTCTGCTAACACTGCTCTGGGATTTTCCCAAATCTCTAGATAATTCTCGTGTGCTTGCATGAGGTTGAACACTCCCGTTTGTAGTAAACTGCTCGACTGTACGGTGAAAAGAAGTACGTGATCGAATTTTTTTTTCGGAAAACGCTGAGCGTAGATATTAACAGCATCATCAAGATTCCTGCCTGCTTCTCCATAAATCAAAATCATTTTTATTTTTTCTTCCACTGTTAAAAAATCCATTATGAATAACTGCTTAATGAAAGGAGGTATTTTTGTTTGCAAATTAATCTTTGAACTAAATTGGGCCATTAAATAATGCCAAACTAATTTTTTTTATCTGGACTGCGGCAACGTTGCAAATTTAGGGTTTTTGTTGGTAAATACAGTTGTCAAGTTGGTCGCATTGATTAAAACAAACTAAGCTAGTTATAAATCTAATTGTGGTTATGTATAAATTATTGTAGGTTACATTGTGCAGTTGTCAAGTTGAGTTGTCGAAATTCGTAGTTAAAAATGAAATTAATTTGGCTTTGGTGGTGCTTAGATGAGTAAAATCATATAAAAAAAGTAGTTAAATATAGGTTGCTTTACGGCCCAGAAGAGAAAGTATTCCTAGCGGAAAATAATCTTCGCTTTGAATTTCTATAAAAGAATTTAAAATTTTTTGTGATCGTAAATGTTGTCCAATGGTGAATAGGTATTTTGTTAAAACCAATAAGAATTATAATGTATACGCGTATACCCTACCGAAAGTGCCCCTTTAAGAACAATAGAAACCAATAGATATTTATGTTTTAATGTATGGGTTTGAATTGGGAATAGAATTGACTTTAATTGGTTTGAATAGGTAATTCCTATTTAGCCTTTAAAACCGATTGGTATCATATAAGATAAAACTCGGTACCAATACACATATTGAGCAGTGGTAGCTGGTGGATTTTGGGTATACCAATATCTTAGTTATTAGACATGGGATCCACTTCAAACTTATACGAGTTTATAATGATATTGGATAAACAAGATCTGCACAAGCAGAATTTAAATTGAAGTTTGCGAAAAAAGTTAAATTTTTAACTGGCCGTACCAGCCCCCTGCCCCCCTATTTAAGATTATTCAAATTAAATAAGTGCAAATCATAAGTCACCAAAGTTTCCTGATAGGTTTTAAAATTTATTTAAAAAATCCAAGAATTACAGATTTTATACCATTTATTTTTTTAAATTTAAGTCAAAAATTTAAAATGGTATAAAATATGTAATTCTTGGATTTTTTATATAAATTTTAAAACGTATCGGTAAACTTTGGTAAATTATGATTTCCACCACTTTAATTTGAATTATCTTAAATAGGGGGGCAGGATACTAACTGTTTTTCGCAAACTTCAATTTAAATTCTGCTTGTGCAGATCTTGTCTATTTAATGTCATTATAAACTCGTATAAGTTTGGAGTGGGTCCCATGTCTAATAACTAAGATATCAGTATAGCCAAAATCCACCAGCCGCCACTGATATTGAGTCCAATACAAACTGATGCATTTTTTAAATTGGTTTCTATGGGACATTTTTGGCAGGGTATAATATTGTCCAGGACTATTAATGGTCAGTAACTTGCAAATTTAAATAAGGGAAAGTTTTGTGATTATTGTTTATCTTTTTCAATCCAAATGGTTGCTATTTTCAAAAACAGGAAAATTAACTACTAGATTTTTCACGAAAAGGTCAATCCTAACAGCAAATATTTTATTTTACAAATAGGTAGTTATTTTTTCATTGATATCATTGCTTGCAACAATCATTACTTAATCAATTTATGAATATTTGTGCATTTTCTTTTTAAATACTTACTTTTGTAGTTTTCTTTACTTAAAAAAATAAATAAAAATCGTTTGCGGGAAATAACCTTTATTTTCATGTTAACATCATTAAGAAAATATATACCATAGCGATTTCTTTAAAAAAATCTTCATACAATCCTTAAATTTTCATGAAAGTCTTCACATTTAAGATTTTAATTAGTTTCTCCAATAAAAAAATTCTATGATTCAATGTCCTCAGTAATTTATACCACATTAGTTCGTTTTCTTTATAATTTTTTGTTTTGCCGGAATTTTGGGTGTTTTAAATTAAAACTTTAATTCAAGTTTTCTTTTAAGCCTTTTTGAATCTCACTGGTGGACTTTATCCCATGGTTATAGGTGTTTGTAACCACTTGATTTATGTAACTTTAGCTGTGCTTAGTCTATTGCATCTAGGAGTATTAATGGATTCATCACTCCTAGACGCGAATTTTCAAGACAACCAAAACCCGCTAATTTTGAAAAATCATCTCTTCCACATCTAAATGAATAATGAAATAAAACACCAAAAGCTCAAATTAAAAAATCTTTAATATTAACCACAAATTTTGAAAAACTTTCCTTACATCCCAAACTCAAATTTAAAACAAAAATATCCCTCCCATACCATAAGTGCAAATTTTAAAAAACAATACCTTAAAACGCAAATTTTGAAAAAAAATACTAATCGCAAATTTTAAAGAAAAAAATCGTTTCCACCCCAAAACGCAAATTACCATATTACATGAAAATAAATCGATATATATATATCTTAAACAAAAACTCGAAACGAAAATTTTGACTAACGCGGGTTTAACGTATTATTATAATGGATAATTTGAAATTTCAAATGTGTAATCACACAAATAAATTAATCTGAAGACTGTTCATCCTCTATAATCATATCGTTTGAAAATGAGTCATCATCAGAGAGAAGATTTAACTCATCCTCAGAATCAGACTCATTTTCAAACAATATAATTAATGGTGGAACATTGCGAAAATCCATGTTGCCCATGTTTTTCTCCAGTCTTCCAAAATTAATTTTTCTGTGTGATTAACTACATTTTCCCACATTTCAACGGTGAATTTTGCTAAAGATTCTTGCCAAACTGTTTTTACTTTATCTGGACTGGAAAATTTTAAATCATTAATATTTTTATTATAATATGTTTTACAAAAACCCCACACCTTTTCAATGGGGTTATATTGACAATGGTATGGGGGTAGCCGAAGATTTTAGAAATTCGTCAACTACATATTTTTTTCTGTTTTTAAAATCAAAGGTTCAGCTAGTTTCCAAAGATCGTTTTTTTTTAATTTAGGGTCAAAAGAAATGCCGTGTTTTTAGGCCGAAATAATTGGTTTGTTCGCAGATTTTGAAATTGGTTTTTCCAAAAGAACCAAATAGTAAAGAGCATTATCCATTACAATAACACATTTTCCATTAATATTAATTAAATCCGGAACTAATTTGTTTTGAACCCAATCAAAAATTATATCACCATTCATAGTTTTATGATAATCGCGATCGTTATTTTTACTAGAAAATAAAAAGCCACAATTTGGAAGAAACCCGCTCCGATAACCGGCATGCAATATGGTAAATCTCTTACCCTCACTTTTTATCTTTACATCATTCATTCTTCTATCATCATCTTTCACCCACTTTCTTACCTTATAAGTATAGGTATATATAAGTATACTGCCATTTTTGTAAATCCAAGTCTCATCCAAAAATATAAAATTTATAACATTCTCTCCTGAATTTAAAAGTTCCAAATATTTTGTTAAAAAAGTAATTTTTGCCCGCACCACAAAACTCCGCTCGCATAATATTTTCCTTCCATCAATTTTTTTATATTTAAAACCCACATCCCGTAAAATTTTGTACAATAGTGACCTAGACCCTGTAAATTCAATTTCGTTCCGCGCATAAACTAAAAGATCATCCAAAGTAAAATGTGTCCCGTCCTTCAACAACTTAAAAATATGCTGCGAAATTTCCTCCCGTAAAAAAAAATTGTCGAACCAAATTCCTTTTTTTTTCTCCCTACTTTTTGCATTTTATTTTCCCCCTTATTTTTAAGTAGGTATCTCAAAAATTTTTGATCTGCTTAGCTAAAAATAATGGGTGATGTAATATTTATAAAACCAAATTCGTTACTTTTTTACTCCAAAAATGTCCATAAGGCGATGTACTTTTTCTTCCATTGTGGCATTTTCATCATAATTTCATCAAAATGTCAAAGGGGCCTTTACATTCGAATTCGTTGCTATTATTTTTGGCATAATTATCTTTTTATTTATAATTGACAAGTAAATTATCAATAATAAATATTATTGTCAATTTGACAGTGTCAAAGTATTTAATTAAATTCTTTAGCAGAAGTACCACTTTTAAATACTAAAAATACTAAGTCAAACTATTTAATTAAATTATTATTATTAGCACATGTTAGAAATATGATTTAGATATATTAACTAAATTAAATAATTGAATTCAGTATATAGGGTGTTTGAAGTTTGTTTATATTACTATAGAAATATTATTAAAAATAAGTTGTAGTTTTTGACACTAATAAAATAAAAGTTTCATTAAAGAATCTTCTTTAATACTTTGCAAGTCCTGTGGATTCAACAGGTTATGGGCCGATAAGGAATAAATCCATAAAGGGCATAAAAACAAAGTTCAGTAAAAAAAAATAAATTAAAAAAAATTATATTAAAATGGCGAGCAATGATGATTCTTTAACAATCGAAAAACTAAAGGATAAAATGAATTTCGGCATGTGGAAGTTTCAAGTCACAATATTTTTTAAAGCCAAAGATGTGTTTGATATTGTAAATGGAAATTCGCTCATTCCAAAGGCTGAAGAAACATATGATGCAGCGCGAAAGGATTGGCTTAAAAAGGATGCATTGGCTCAAAAATTAATTATAACAACCATTGAAAAACAACCAATGACGTATTTATTGAACTG